TCTATTGGACATTTGAGTAGTTAAAAGATAACTACTGTGAGATATTGTAATACTGCATGATAATTTGAGAAAATTTAAGCATTTTGTTGTGATAATAATAAATTTTTGTTCATTTTTCATCGGACTTGTGCATTCATTTCATAACGAACCCGTACGCACGCAACAATTTCGGTGTCAGAAGTGGGATTTGAATGCCAATAACAAGAGCGATGGAAGAGCAATTAAGGCAGTTGATCTCAGCCTTTGTCTCGTTGAAAGAAGATATGAAATCGAATCAGGAAAAGATTGAAGCGGGACAGGAATATGTTAAAGACGAGATGAAATCTCTTAGAGACGAGATGAAAGCAGGTCAAGAGGAAATGAAAAGAGAAATTACTTGCGTAATAGAAAACAAATTTGAGGCTATGGAAGGTAGAATAGACTCGGTCGAAAGTAAGGTTGGAGAAACTGAAGAAAGACTCCTCCGTCAAAGAACAAATAGAAGGGAGAGTTTCTGCTGTGGAGGAACGAACTGAAGGAAGAGTTTGTGCCGTCCAACACCAAATCGAACAACAAATTGATCAGAGAGTTTCTGCAGTTGCCAAAGAAATGGAAACTTTAAAGAAATTCGTAGCGACGGCAGGGAGCAAGAGTGATGATTTTAAATTCTTACCGATGCCTGCTCGTCCATCTCTGAAGCTATCCACATATGATGGGAAGACATCCTGGGAAGTGTATAAGACCCAGTTTTCGATCGTTGCGGATGCGAATGGATGGGATTCCCAAACGAAGGCCTGTCATCTCGCCGCTTCTTTGAGAGCCAGACGCAGCGGATATCCTGCAGACGCTTCCCGAAAACCAAAGACTTGACTTTCGAAGCTCTATCCGCGCGCTTTGGAGCTGCGCTTTATGGGAGAAAACTGTTTTAAAAGACTACAGTAGGCTTCAAATTAAAATCCCGTCAACAGAAGCCCACCGAATCACTTCAGGAACTCGCCACGGATTTTGAAAAGGCTGTCCCATCTCGCCTTTTCGGAGTGCCCGACAGAAACAAGGGAAATCCTGTCCTTACAATACTTTATCGATGGCATCCGGGATTCTGAAATACAGAAAGCTATACGAATGGCGGATGTGAAGGATATAAAAAGTGGCTCTGTTGTACGCCATGAAATTCGAGGCAGCCCAGCAAGCAACTCATAGGGACCCGCTACCCAGTCAGAGCTATGCGAGTCCACGAGCCAGTGGATCAACTGATGGCTCATTTAGATGATTTATCCAGACAAGTCGACGCTTTGATACAGAGTAGCAGTGAGAACAAAGTGGCTCGTAAGGTGTTGCAGATGTGGATTCTAAAAGGTCACCTACGACGGCATTGCAGAACACCCCAGGGCACGGATAATAAAATGGATGAGTTGACAAGACCAGTGAATGCCTTGAGACGGAATGTTGGTGAGAAGAAACCGACCCTAAAGTGCTGGAACTGCGTTGTTGAAGGCGACATACGAAGGAACTGCAGAAACAACCCCAAAGCACGGAAAGTAAGAGAGGCGGGATTTAAATAGACAATTAAATGCCATGGGGACGCAAAAGGATTGACAAGAAACCAAAGTGCTGGAACTGTGGAAGCTGAAGGCCACGTACGAAAGAATTGCAGAACACCCCCACCCCAGAGCACGGAAAATTGAGACCATTTCTCAGCAACGACGCAGGAAACAAATTAATGACCACATCAAGGAACGGAGGTTGGCCAGATAATGAAAAACCTTGTTTTTAAAGCACTCAAGATTTCTAGAGTGAGTGGCGACAGTAACGGACTGTCCATCAATGGGAAATATCGATGGAGTTCCTGCAATATGATCATTGACACAGGAGCTAATACGTTACCATCATTAGGAAAGATTGTAGCTTGAACAGTTTAAAGGTAAACTTATTTGGACGCCATCCTCTGTGTTACCCTTCAGACTGCGTCTGGTGATAAGATCGACATAGCTGGGAAGTTAAACGTGAACATCACGTTTGGATGTGCCACCTACCATCACACGGCTTATGTGGCGGATATTACAGATCCATGCATACTCGGATTGGACTTAAGGAAATACTACTTAAGGAAATACTTTTCCTTAGACTTCAAAAACAACAAACTGCTTTCAGCATCTGATGACATGACTATCCATCCTCAGAAGGGATCCTCATTTGGAAATGCCGACGCCTTGTCTGAAAAATCCAGCTCGGAAAGCTGCCGAAATCATACTAGGGTCGGAGAGAAACATCAGACTACCGGTTATTTTCCATCCTAGATGCTCTTCGGTCGAGACCTTCGTCAGCAGCCTTGTGACCGCCTGTTTGGTCGCCGTACGGATGCGCCTTCATCGCCTGAGGAATACATCCAAGATGTCCAGGCCCGTTTTGAAGTGATGCACTGTTCCGCACGAAAGCGAGTGAACTTGGCGACGGAAAAAGTGAAGACCAGATACAACACAAGAGCTACTGAACATAGATTCGACAAAGGAGACAAGGTGTGGTTGTGGAACTCGATTCGACGAAAAAGAGTCAGGCCTGAATTACAGTCACCTTGGGATGCTCACCACACTGTCCTAAACAATCTAAATGACATCGTGGTTCGGATTCATAAGTCTTCGAAATCTAAACCTAAAGTCGTTCATTACGACAGGTTAGCTCATTACTATGGCCATAGTATGTAATGTAAATAATTGTAAATAGTATGCAAGATCATGGTCCTTTTTGTTTTTAAATGTGTATTTGATTGATTTGTATTATTTATTTGATTTGTATTTGTATTTGATTTGCATTTAGTATTTGATTTGTATTTGATAGCATTTGATTTGTTTTATTTATCGCATTTATTGTTCATGTTGTTTATTATTGTAATGTAATGCTTATTAATGCATTTATGCCACAGTTGTAAGGTTTAGCTTCCTGTCCAGGGATTGTACTGCCCGGGACGTGCAGTCCTTGGGAAGGGGGGCAGTGTTACGGAATTTGGTATTTAAAAAGCTTAATGTTAGTTCAATTATAAATGAAATGGTTTTATTTCCCGCGCAGTGCAGCGCGTGACGACTATTAAAAGAAGAAAGCTAAGCCGGAAAATTAAAAAAATTAAAGAGCACGTGCATTTAACATTAAATAAATAAATAGGTTTTTTTTATTTCGAGAAAGTACCAGAAAATTCTACGCACGTGATTTTAAAATGTTATAAAAGGAGGAAAACATCTCAGTTCGTAGTAGTTACTTAGTTTGTTGTTGTTTAGAAAACTGCTCTTGTTGACTGTAGCGAATTCGCGGATTAGCGTTCTTTAGCTGTTTTGAATTACGTTCTATTGGACATTTGAGTAGTTAAAAAGATAAAACCACTGTGAGATATTGTAATACTGAAATGATAATTTGAGAAAATTTAAGCATTTGTTGTGATAATAAATAAATTTTTGTTTTCATTTTTATTCGGACTTGTGCATTCATTTCATAACGAACCCGTACGCACGCAACAATATCCTCTTGCAGGTTGGTTCCTCTCGTGGACTGGGATCAGAAGTTTTCTCTGTTATTACTGGCTTATCGCAGTGCTGTTCACGAGACTGCCGACTACTCCCATACCAGATGCTCTTCTGTCGCGACCTTCGTCTGCCTTGCGATCTCTTGTTTGGTTGCCCTCCTGATGCGCCTTCATTGCCTGAGGGGTAGATCCAAGATCTCCAGGCACAGTTTAAAGTGATGCACAAGTTTTCGAGAGAGCGAGTCAGTTTGGCGACGGAGAAGATGACGACCTGGTACGACACAAAAGCTAAAGGACATCGATTCAACGAATGTGACAAGATATGGTACGGAATCCGATTCGGCGGAAAAGACTTTCTCCTAAAATACAGTCTTCCTGGGATGGTCCTTTCAGAGTCCTAAACATGTTGAACGATGTCGTTGGATTCATATCATCAAATTCTAAGTCGTTCATTACGGCAGGCTAGCCTTTTACTACAACCATAGTACGGAGTCTTCATAGTTTAAGTACTAGAAATTGTACACTAAGACCGTGGTGCTATGTATATATAAATTTGTAAATTTTAGCATTTAATTATTGGTATAGTTTTTGATTTTTTGTATGTTACTTAGAGAAATTATTAATTTAGTATCGCATTAAATTTCTTGAGTTATAAACATGGCTTCCTGTCCAGGGATTGCATTTCTTCGAACGTATAGTCCTTGGGAAGGGGCCAGTGTTACGAAATTTGTATGTGGTAACATGAAAAGTCTGAAGAGAGAAGCTCTGTCCAAAAAAACGGTTACAGGTATTTAACATTGAGGTAAATGGCTATCTCGCTAATGTCGCGAGATATCGCCAAAGTGGCGATGGTTTTGGCGATTAATTTTTGTCGCTATATTTTGCGAGAAAGTGCGAAACGTCGACAAACTTGGCAACCGTTCGGAGGTCATTTTGGTTCGGTCCCTGTATAAACGTAATTAGCACTGCAATTTGATAACTGGAATTTATCGCTATATGTAACTGTAACTGTATTCAAACCTTATATGTAACTTTAACTGTATATTTCTTCCAGTAATTTCGAGAAGTACTAGAGATTTCTCGATGGCCGGGGGAAAACTTTATAAGCCCGAGAGAGGATCAGATTTCAGTTTTTAGTTCAAAGTTGACTTTGGAGTATTGTGAGATCTCCGTGCTAGCTTCGCTGTTTAGATTGCGTTGTGTTTACGTTTAACGTTCTTAGTAGTTTAAAGTGGTAATTACTGATTGTGCTCCGTCAGACTAAGAAGTACGAGTATTTTTATGAAAATTCAATGAACTATAACATTTTTATTTTGGTAAAATAAATTTTATCAAGCTATCATCTCTTCTGTATGCCTTTAGTTCATTACGAACCCGTACGCATGCAATAATACTAATGCTTTTTATTTAGTTAAATTATAACAGATGACTTTTTTATTTAACTAGACGCTAACTAGAAAAACTGAATCCTTTCTGATTTTCATTCTTTCTTATTTATTTATTGTTTCAGCTGGAATAATATAATGACAATTGGCCCAAATTTGTTTCCACTTCTGCCTGCGTTGAAAAAATTTAATGCTGGTTATAATACCATAGTTGATCTCAAAGAAAAGGATTGGAAGGAGGTTCCATGGCTTCTTAGAGAGATTGACCTCAGAGGTAAGTTAAATTCAGTAGCAAATTTTGGAAGATATGGAGTATATAATTAAGAATAAATTCGCATAGATATTCATAAATTAGACTATTTGAAAAATTCTGTGTCACTAGAAAATTTCAAATTATTTTCACATATGTACTCAGTTGCAAATGGCAGTGATCTGACAGGGATGAGTAACTTGCATAAATGTTTCGGCACCGTAATGCAAGTTCACCATCGTTCCCCAAGGCATAAGCGTGCCCTACACTGGTATGAAGTTTCGGTTTTTTACCATGGGAGAATGTAACTTTGATCAAAGTGCTGAGATGTCCATGCGAAGATCTAAGTTAAGGGTTCCAAACTGGATCAGAGTTGATCCCCTGAGTTGGGGGTCGGCAGCTGAATATTCGTGGACAATTAATCGCTACAATAAAGATTCTGTTGATTACAAGAAGAAAGAGGCCGTATGAAGTCATTACGAAATAGAACAATAGAACTACTTAAGAACAAAACAAGGGACCGCGCCTTTGATGCACCGCTGCCATCTTATATTTTTCTGGAAAGTAATGCAAGGCGTATGGGCGTATTTGAATGAAGTCATATTCGAATTTTAATTTTTTATGGCAACGAACTCTTGAATCACGCGTTTAGGATGATATTCATTTTTCTTTAGAATTTTTAATTATTTAATTTGTCATTATTTTTAATTAATTCTATTAAGTTAATAAAGTAATTTTAATGTATAAATTTTATGTAATTGCACGTGTTTTAAAAGCAGCCCCACAGTTAGAATTCCAACCCATAACCTCTAGCATTGGAGCCACGGTTCCACAAAGCCCGGTTCGTCCCTTGAATCCTGTTATTTTAAGTTTTCACTAGCGAAAACCCCTGGACCTTATAAGAATAATAGGTAATAATCTCTTATAAGGTCCATGCGAAAACCACTATGATGTCAAGGATCAAGGATCAAGGAAGTTCGTGTTACGGAGTTCTTAGGCATAAACGCCTTTACCTCCACATCATCTGAAGAATAAAATGTCACTATGAGAATTGCGACCAATCAGATTCTCGCTAACCAATACCTTTCCTATTTTTACCAATCGGCGTCTTTGTTTCTTGAAGTGGACATACATTTATTTTGCCTTTCTAAATCATTAAATTTATTCTTTGCTGTTTTTAACGTAATGTTGGCACATTAAAAATTTCTCTTTTTTATTTTACAAGTATATATATATATATATATTTTCTCATCCCTACTAAATTAGATTTAGTAATTTTTTATCCCAAGTTTATAATTTTTGCAAGCGTAAGTCTTACTCTTAATTTTCGCAAATTAGAGTTTCCACGTTTTTATCTCTACAAAAGTAAATTTATTTCTTATAATTTCTTGTAATTTTTTTTTTGTTTTACAAAAGTTCTTTCTGCAAATTTTTTCCGTTTAACTTAATTTTTTTTTTACTTTTACTTTCATTAATGTTACAAAAGTAATATTTATTTTAACAAGTGTAAAATTTTGTTTTCGCTTTCCTATTTACACAAGCACAATTTTTGCTATTTTTACATTTATTAAATTATTATTATTAAATTTAAATTTTTTCACCTTTTTTTTTTTTTTTTTTTTTTTTTTTTTTTTTTTTTTTTTTTAGTACAAAGGGGCTTTGTCCCTGAAGGACTATTGTTTTCGTTTTGCGATTTTGCGTCGGACTCATAAACGTCGGTTCACTTTTCAAACTGTTGCCACAAAATGTTAGAGTCCTGCATTATATTTGAAGAAATTAAATAATGAAAAATCTGCATAAATGATTGTCTATTTCTCGCATTGTGATAAAACAAATGGTACATAGAAGAGCCATCGAATTTTGAATGACGAAATCCTACTGCGAATATGGGCATCTGAAATCCCAAATTTGGAATTTGTTTTATTATAGATTTTATATTTTGTAAAACTTTAACGAATTTTTGATTTACGAACTCAATGCTTTAAAAGCGAGAAATGGCAACGTTATATAGAAAAAAAAATACTTTTATCTCCAGCTTGCGAGACTGTGTATATCGGAAATTCTAAAGATATGCTTAATTTTAACATTATTTTGCGATATTGCTCTTGAACTGAATTTTATGGTTTAAGTGCAAAGAACATGATATTTAATAAATAAAGGTAACACTCAAAACGTTAAAAAAACGCCCCTTTGGACGTAATTTAAAATCTGAAACATTTCAGATTTTTTTTTTTTTTTTTTTTTAACAAATGTAAATTTTTGTATGCTTTAATTTTCTATCTTATTATATTTTTGTTTTACGTTTAACTTTTTCTCCCTTGTTTTAAATACTTATTGATGTTACATTGCCATTTCTCCGAAAATAAACTTTCATATATTTCTCTGTCTACGGAATTTAAACTAGAATTCACATGCAGATAATTTCTTTCTGGAGGCCTTCATAAATATTATTTTTTGTAACTTTAAAGCATTCTACACAGTTTATTTGGAATATTACATTTCCCACTTTTTGTGATACTAACACTTAATCGAGGATACTCCCAACTTTCTCTTCTAATGTATTGCGTTAACTTTTTGAAATACTATACAAAATATTCCGTATGTTCTTTTACACATCTTATTTTTATTCAGAGGTTTCACCCAAACTATGTCGATGCGAAGCATTATGAATTCTCGTGTACAAATTTTACTTTTATTCAAAAGATTCACCAAACTATGTCTGGCAATTGTAAATTTTACACTTTTTACCTTCTATTTACACATCTCTTATTTTTAACTTGTAAAGCATATTCACGTTACATTTCTAATTCCTTTTTATCAAAAATAAATACAGACTTACACAAGTTTCTGTAATATCAGATATGCTGGCTTTGAACAAATCTTATATTGAGTAATAAATTTTCATGGCATAAAGTCTACTTAAACCAATACTTGGATATATCTAATGCGTTTATTTCGAATACATTTGGGAAAATATTGAATTTCTTATTATTTTATGCTACAGACATGTACGTGAATACACTCAGAACACTCTCTTTTATTAAAAAATTCATTTACATTGTAGGGTTTATATTTATTTTAACTAACATTTATTTTAAGTTTAAGCTATCTTTCCTGTCAAGCCTTTACTTTCCCCTGGAATTGCCAATGCCAGAGTATGTAAATTTTAGTAGAACGCGCAGAGTATTCAAATTTTAAGCAGAAGTAATTTGATTTAAATAGAAGGGAAACGAGTTTGTAAGTGTGTTTCTTGATTCACGAGCGTGAAGGTTGCTTGGTAGAAGTTTAGAACCGCGCATTTCGGCCTGTATGCCTACTTCGGTAGTTAGTTGAATTCTTTCAACGTCTTAATCAGAAAGTTTGCTGAATCTCAGCTGTATCTTAGAACGCGGTTAAGATATTTACAATTATAGAGCCTCGTAGATTGTGACTTCGTTAGTTATGCATCCTGTTATTTATTTTTAGTTGTACTCTTCTATTTTTTGTTACACCGCCGGGTCGGCATAGTTTGTGAGCGTCAAGTGAACGCAAATGTAAGTTCTAAAGTGAAATAAAAAGGGATTAAACCCTTCTTACGAGTTTGTGTAACTTCCAGTTCACAGCAGTCACTACTACTGTTGCGGACAAGTTGGGGCCACGCAACATCACAACATTACTAACACAGATTCTGTTAATTCTTTAAAGCAATTTATAAAAATATCTACAAATTACAATTGAATTTTCTACATATCCTACCTTAAATCACCAAACATATGCTAAACCTTGATTTTTTTCTTCAGATGAAAGCATGACTCGGATTCTTAATATGATTTCACCATTTACCACACAGCCTCATAAGCTTAACTTATCACACTTTCTTGACAAAGTGCAGGAGATCAAATTATTTTTAACTACAGAGAAGAATATCCACATTGTAAAATATTATTTTAAATTTAAATTATAGCCAGATTTGTGAAGGAGAACTCAGAAAAAATTCTTTAATACATATGGAATTAATATTCGACTAGGAATTGAACGTTTGTTCGTTCCCCTTTCTCCCATCTCGAAATATTTTTCCCAACAGTATCATCATTATTTTTTATATCAAAACTTTTTAACATGCTAAAAGATACACATTTCAAATTGACGTAATTGTGTTTAATACTAGACTAATTATAGAAGAACATATTCAGGAAATGTCAAAGAACAAAATAATGACTCCCATAAATAGTGAGTACGCGAGTCCAGTCGTACTATGTAGGAAAAAGAACGAGTTTCCTCCTTCGGATAAAAGGGCTTGGAGGTTTGCTATCGATTACAGAAAACTGAATAGTATTACTAAATTCCCAGTTTACCCTTTGCCGGTTATAGAGGAAATTATTAGAAAGATTAAATCTACTAGATACATGACTACTTTGGACTTAACGTCTGGCTACTATCAAATAGCTATGAGACCCGAAGACATACATAAAACCGCGTTTATAACAAAATCGGGCACTTATGCATTTTTACGCATGCCCTTTGGGTTGTGTGGGGCCCCATCAACATTCCAGAGAGCTATGGACATTGTTCTAAAGCCTGTCCTAGGAAAATCGACTTTAATCTATCTAGATGATATAATTATAACGAGTAGTACGTTGGAACAACATATTAAAGATCTAGAAGAAGTTTTTAAATTATTAAAAGAGGCCGGTCTTACAATTAACGCCTCAAAATGAAAGTTCGCAACTAAAGAACTTAAATATCTGGGTTATAAAATTTTGCAAAAGGGTATAGAAACTCAAGATTCAAAAATAAAAGCAATCAAGAATTTCCCACCTCCCAACACCGCCAAGAAACATTCTTCTTTCCTTGGGTTATGTTCTTACTATCGGATTATTCATAAAAGATTTCGCTAATATTGTTGAACCCCTGTTAGTAATTAAAAGAAAGAAAAGTAAATTTCACGTGGACAGCGGAAGCAAATACCGCATTTGAAAGATTAAAAGAAGCGCTCATCAATGCCCCTGTTTTGAAATTCCCGGAGGGGGACGAAAACCTGGAAATTGCAGCAGATGCGTCGGACTATGCTGTGGGTGCGGTTTCTTATGCAAAATAGCCATCCTTTGGCATTTTTTAGTAAAACGTTGAATCACACACAAAGGAATTATACAGCTACAGAGAGAGAAACATTAGCCGTATTAATGGCTGTACACAAATTTCGAGTTTATTTCGGCAAAGCGCCAGTAACAGTCTTTTCGGATCATGCGGCTGTTGGTAGACTTTACTCGGGGAAAAACCTAACGCCCAGGTTAATAAGATGGGCTTTAAAACTCCAAGAATATAATCTCATAATCAAATATATAAACCGGGTAAGGAAAACAATGTAGCTGACGCACTTTCTCGTATAAAACTGGACGATGAAAGGAAATGAACTTAAATGCGCTGTGTTGACTTTAAAAATTTTAGATTCTAGAGATACAATTATTGCTGAACTGAAAGCTGATCCTGAA